GTATCTTTTAAAAACCAGACATGGAAAGTGACCCAAACCAAGAATATCTCTTTTAACCCAAATAGAAATAAATTGTTCATCTCCCTTTTCTTCTTATCTCCATTGTTGTGTTTATTTTAAGTAACTAGTATAATACTTGTGTACTACACGGATACTTGTTAAAAAAATTATTTTCTTTGTACCAAAAAAAAATAAAATTATTTTCTAAATTAAATAATAACAACAACAACAGTTGTTTAAGATTAAATATATGTATTTATTAGACTAACTTAAGGTTTTCATAGAAATTAATGAGTTGATTGAGAATTTCCATAGCAAATCAAGGTTATATTAGTTAATCAATATCATTACCAAATGTTCTCATACAACTTAAATTATATTAGTCGAACTATTATGAAATTACAAAGTTAGTATTTCAATATTTTTGAAATGTCCGAATCTAAAATTATTGATTTAGAATAATATTATTTTTTATCCAAATCAAACTACAAAACATGTTTTTTTGCCAAATAAGATTCTGAAGTGCGTGCGCGTGAGACTACCACTTAGACTCAACGCATTCTGTAATTATATATAGGAGGTTTCAGTGTAATTGGAGGAATCCCACTGGCCAACCAATAGGTTGGTGGGCTAAACTCATGCCTATGAGGGCAATATTCCATTAATTTTTTTTAATGTTAGATTAACACACATTTATGTGGGTCTGTGTAAGTAAAATTAACCAGTAAAAAAATTGATATTCATACATTTTATATCCAAAATAATGGGAAAAAATTACTTTTGGCACGTGAAGTATAGCATTTTTTTGCTTTTGGTATCGAGGTTCCAACTTAATCAGTCAATACAGTTTTCAAAACTAATCGTTCTTTGTTGAAATGTTACAAAAGCAGTCCAAAAGTTTGTCCAAATACATCAAATTAGTAACAGCTGCACGCCGCTGGCCATGAGGGTCTAAAAAGATGGCTTGTTAGGCTCTCGGATGGCTTGATTACCAGTCAAATGGTTCATACTATGAGGTTCGGTTGGGGTTGGTCGGGCAATGTCGGACCTTGTGCAAAATTATTCGAATCAAATTTTTCTACAAAATAAAATATAAAAGGGAACGAAAAGTACATAAAATACAAAAATAACACAAGAACACAAAAGAAGGAGCAAAACCAACCTAATAAAAATCTATGAAACGAGCTTAGAAGAACTCAAAAATATTATAAAAACACCCAAAATAATAACAGAAACATGCAAAAATAAATAAACAAGTAATCGTCACATCAAACAACAATTTTACTCCAACCGAAAACCCCAATTTAGGGGTGTTAGTATATTTATTTAGTTAGCGTAAGTCATCAGTAGTTTAGTTATTGTTTAGGTGGTTTTGGAAGTATTAGATTGGAGTTTGATTATGTTCTAATACTTCCAAAACCACCTAAACAATAACTAAACTAGTGACTTACGCTAAGTAAATAAATATATTAACACCACCCTTAAATAACTCACGCTAGTCTAAGACTAATAATAATAAACTCACTAAATAATTAAACTACAAATAATTTATTAATAATCCGTGCTCGTCTTTTTGGCATATGCACGCATTCTTTCGTGCCTTCGTTCGGCCTCAGAGCATCTGGTGGTGGGGTCACTAGCGCCGAACGGTCTAAAAACCTGCAGCATCGCTAGTGAAGGTTAGACGAGGACAGTCATGATGTATTTTCTAAATTCTAATCACCGCGCCTTAATATAATTTACATGGTAATAACTAGCGCCGAACGGTCTAAAAGCCTTTTTTTGCGTAGTGATTCTACTTACTTGAACCCATAAGTGTGAAGCATCTTCCGAATGCCGGTATCCTATTTGTTCGTCGTTCCATGATCGGCTGGGCGTCGGTGAAGATGGTGATGTATTTAAGTATCGAGTTAGTTAACAACTAAACATATTCAAACTCCTATCTAATACTTCCAAAACCACTTAAACAGTAACTAAACTACTGACTTACGCTAACTAAATAAAAATATTAACACCCTTAAATAACTCACGCTAATCTAAGACTAACAATAATACACTCACTAAATAATTAATTTGATAATAATCTTCTAAATAATTAATTTGATCATCGTGTGATTTTATATATATAGCGAATGGGTGGCTAAGGTTGTTTAGACACAACAAAGTTGTTTCATGGACTCCATTTCGTTCTCAAATGCAAATGGCGTGATAGCGGCATTTGATAAATGCCCATTGATCAATTTGAAAATTCATCACCAAAAGGTTGTGGCTCAACAACATTCCAACTAAAATTCATCTACTGCATGCATGGAACCTACTAAACATTCCAACTCAAACAACACGAAATGTCTTTATTTCCTAATTTTTTTAAAGTGGGATTTCTTTTATTTATTATTATTATTATTATTTGGCAACAAAATAAAAAGGTTGTGATTATTTTACAACTACTTTAATGATGTGCAATCTCAGTCATCAAACGGCTGCCGCATCATCTTAAATGGTTGGTCGCGCTTGATAAAAATTAGTCTCTGATCAACATTGAGTTTGTTTTGCCACATTGGGACAAAGTCCAAATTTATTTACAATTATTCAAAACATTGGATTAAACTGTCAAGACACGAAAGGTAATACAGTGTTTGGTTCGGGGGAAACTGAGGGGAAGGAAAGGAAGGGGAGCAATTTTTTGTAAAGGGAAGGATTGGTATTTTTCCTTCAAATTCCTCCTCCACGGGAAAATCTCCTCTCCTCCAAAAGTGGGAGAATTTGGAGGAGAGGGAAAATTTTAACACGTAAAATTATTATATTATCCTTTATAGGTGAATTATTTTATTATTTTGTTTCTTATATCATTAAGGATATATTTGTCATTCTAACATTATTTTTCTTTCCCTTTTATTATCTAACCAAACAAGGTTTACCATTTTACCTCCACTCTCCTCCTACAAAATCCCTCCAAACAAAGTAAAATTATTTTACATCACCTTCCCTCCCCTCCCCTTCCTTCCATTAAAATCTCTCCCCTCTCCTCCCCTCAATTGAACCAAAGTAATTCATTAAAGAAATACATTTATTAAAAAGTATTTAAAAATTTAAATAAAAAATTCTATATTTTTAACTTCTTAAAATATAAAAAATTCTATTACTACTCGTGTAATGCACTATAGGGGTAGTAATACATTCTGTTGGAAAAAATTAAAAAAGAAAAAATTATATATATATATATATATATATATATATATATAT